ATTTATTTATTTATTTATTTGTTTATTTATTTTCTTTCTTTTTTTTTGGAAAGAGACTGCTATCAGAATTGTTTAGAAAAAAAACTCTAATAACATACGCAATGTTTTTACCTGTTCCCAATGCCTAATAAATCGAACTAATCGAGAAAGTCGGAGTAGACGGAGTAAACTGAGAAGTTTTGCCATTCGCAGAAATCGCAGAGCACGAGATGCTTTATAAATACTTTCGTTTCCTCCTCCCATTAGCAGTATAATGTAGTCCATGGGCATCGAAGAAATCAGGTCCAAGAAAAACCAAGTTCGGAAATAGTGTTTGGCAATCAGCTTTGGTTGCAAAATTACCTACATGATAAGTTAATGTATAATAATTACAATGTGTTAACCTATTATATTAAATATTTGTGATGGGCATCATTCATTCATTTCTTTATTCAATACCTAATTCTATTTATATTATTTATTTAAGTTTATTAGAACAACCCAAAAAATGTATTGCTGTGCTATTATTTATTACTTATTAGAATAACCCACAACAAAATAATACTTTATTGCGTTACGTTATGATTACTAGATATGAATAATTTAGAGGAACAAAAATAATATTGATTATGACGATGATGATGATGATGATGATGATAATGATGATGATGATGATGATGATAACGACGACGACGACGACGATGATGATGATGAAGAAGATGGAGAAAAACTATCGTTATTTATTGCTTACCAGTTCATTGCTATCGTGGTTTAAAATTCCTGTTCGGAAATTGAAGAATATATCGGTAATAAATAGTGTGTCTGATACGCAATTGATGATGATCCATTGAAGTCCAATCTCTTCTTGCTTGAAGAAGGTGATACTTACAGGTATTGTTATCAGATTGATCACGAGTGTTATAATCATCAGAAAGTCCCAGTTAACCCTATCATAAATTAAATATTGTTATTAAAGCATAATTATGTGTAAAACACTACTTTACTAATTGTCCGTTGACTTTTGGTATTCAGTGTCCTCAGTATTAAGTGAATCATAAAAATTGCTTCACAAAGTGACAGTACAAAACGCTAATTTGCAAAATAAGTGATTTTAGGTAATTTTTAAATACTTGACCGTGGTATTTTTATTTTTGAGTGTGTGTGGGGGGGGGGGGGGGGGGGGGGGGCCGAGTAATTTTTGGAGTGGCGTGCGCCCCCACGCACCCCCAGATACGCCACTGGTTGAAATAGTATTAATAATTTTATTCAGATTTGTACATCAAATATCTTTATAATTACTAATACTGAATTTAAAAATAATATACTTCTTGTTTTTTAAGAACCAGTAAAATTGTCCAGGCTCAGTTTCTTATTTTTGGTGGCCAATTTCAGGCTCAAAATGGTCTTATTTTGTTCTTATTTTTACACATTTTTCAAACATAGAAAATTATTATTGTACAGCATATTACTGTACTGCATTATAAAAAGTATTACATAGTCACACCGACTGATAATATTTGTCGGTTTTATTCTCTTTAAAAAATAAATAAAATAAAAATCTCATTTGACATTTTGCCTCAGCCTCGATTTTTCTTATTTTGTTCAATTTCAACCTCAGTGTTCTTATAAAATGTGTTCTTATAAAAAAAAAAAGAAAAAAAAAAGAAGTGAATATCCTCTATATATACATGAAGAAGTTAAAATTATAATTTTATTAGACCTGGTTGGGGTAGCTATCAACATTACATAGCTAACTCCATAATAAAATACACCAACCCTCTCTCCCCCTACCCCACCCTCATTAGGGGCTTACTACTAGTACGAGTGAACTAGGCCTACGCCCAGTGTCCAGCCATCGTCATTAAATTAAGTGACGTCATTGACTGTGAAATCGGAAAAAAATAATGCTATTTTGAAGGAAGATAACAAAAATAAGCACAAAATAGGCATGCACAATTCACATCGACAAATCAATGTAAAACAATACCGTATATTTTATTCTGTCAGACAAGACAGGTCCCAACGAATGAATATCGTTTTTAACAAAGACTATTCTCTAGAAACAATAAAACATACCTTTATTTGATCGTACATAGAAATTGACTGAAAAATGGGATTTAAAAGCGGTATTCAATAACTTTTTAAACAATAAATTGCTCTTGATATCAATGTTTTCGTTACTAAGAAATGCTTAAACTGAGATATTGCGCATGCTGCAAAAAGATTTATAGCCTAGGTATTCAACCTTTTTAAGTTGGGGGGTCAGTTTCAAACTGTTGAGACCAGCGGCGGGCCGGCATAAATTGTCTACTTCCATTTTGTTCTATGTCAGCATAGAACACCCATTTCTTATAGCGGTGGATTCGAAATAGAAGGGGACAGGGAAGAACTTTCACATAATAGGGGGAAACAGTGACGGATCTAGGATTTAGTATTGGGGGGTGGGGTGAATAATGCGATTTGCGAAGCACCAAGCGGGTGGGGGCGTTCTTTTGGCAAGGGCACAGATATGTTTCGAAAGGTGAGGGGGACAGTTCTTGAGTCCACACCCACCTTGTTGTACAGCACCCTTTCGTTAAAACCTGGGTCATTTATGCAGTTCATTTCAACAATTTTCAGGCATCTTCTTGACTTACGAAATTATTACATTGCTGACGAAATGTAAGGAGACCAACCTCCCACCCCATTAAAATATTTGGGGACGTGTTCCACTGTCCCCCATTGATCATGGGTTTTGGGAGGGCCGCCCCTTCCAATTGAGATTTGTTTTGAATTAGTAGCTGGCTAGACGCTCTTGGATGACATCTGAAAAGAAGTTATAAACTTAAAATAGGAAGTGTATGCTTTACTAGAGTAGCCTACTACACGTGTGTACATGAAAAGCACACACACAAGACGAGTGAGCATTTTTTTTTTTCACGGTCACCTACGGAAGTGGCTAGCCACCCTATTCACACCCCATCACCCTAGATCCGCCACTGGAAAAATACCACCTCAGCCCCACTATGGATGGGGCTGAGGTAAAAAACCTTTAGATGGTCGGAAATGGCACTCTCAGACTTAATTTGAATATCATTTTCTTTTCTTTTCAATTTTATTTTAGAATTTTGAAAACAAAAATGCATTCTAGGTTGCTCCTACTCTGCCACTAGAATAGACGTGCCTAGGTGGTGTTTCTATAAACAGAAAAACTTTTTCAAAAAATCGGCCAGAAAATGATTTATTTTTATCCAATTTTGCGCGGACCGGATCAAAATCTTTGGCGGGCCGGAGTTGGCCCGCGGGCCGGGGTTTGAATACCGGGGATCTACAATTTTGTCTGTCTTTTCCCAAATACCTAGGTCCTGTTGACACCCCCAACAAATCTAGTTCTGCGCATGCTAGGAATGATCGCACATCGACTGTAATATCGCGTTGGATCTCTTTGTTAAATCGTATAGGGCTATTAGAAAATAATTCTGTTTCTAAATCATTGAAAAACACTTTACACTTTATACGTCTCTGTATAGGTCTTTGATAGTACCGTACTCGCGCGAATAAGCGCCCCGTTTGAATAAGCGCTTCTATCGAATAAGCGCCCCTCATAACGAGAAAATTTCCTTAAGCGCCCCGTTTGAATAAGCACCCCTTCTAATTAGAATAAACGCCCCCTCAATAACCCAATCAATCCTGGGACTGTGAATGTTGGCATGATTTGAGGTGTGGAGTGGAATCACATTCTCCTTCAGTCACTATCAAAGTGAGGATATTTATCTTTGACAGAATGATGAGAGCTCCCTGGACAGACAGTATATTTCCAACTTTCATCTTCTTTCATTTATAGCCTAGTGCTACTACTCCTTTTCCGACAATTTGCACCTTTAACACATCATCTAAGTTTTGAAGAAAACCGGCAATGATCATGCCGTCCTGCTATTCTCAATCGACCGATGGCGAACAAGCTAACCACCACCACTAATTTCATCTGCTATTCTGCTGTTATGTAATACTGTACTCACAACATTCTTGTTATGACAAGCCATGCTCTCTGGACGATTATTTTTTCCGCCGCAGCACCATTCGTAATTTGCGGTTTCCTGATGTCCTTATTTAATCGTTTTTCATTCAAAATGTGCCTTTTGATAAGAAACCCCTCGATTTTCATCTATTTCCATAAGCGCCCCCTCAATTTTCACTCTGTTTTTATAATCGCCCCGTTCGAATAAGCGCCCCGTTTGAATTAGCGCCCCTCAAAAAGTGCCGGCATAATAAAAAAAAAAAGTAATTGTTTAGCCTAACTTCAATTATTAACCTCAATGAGACAAAAGGCAATGCGACATAAAACCGTTTCTACAGTTTTTTAGACTTAATAGAATGCAACCAATTTCTTGTCAGTGGTCCAATTGGTTAGCATGAGCACCCACTTTAGATACGCCACTGGATAGCCATATTAAAACTATTTTTATAATTTGCATGTTCTTTGATTTCTTACCGAAGTGTACTGCATGGGTGTATGATTAGAGAACCAACAGCTTGAAGTCGCTTCTTCTCCAGTATAATCCCCTTCTTGCTCCCGAATAGCTTCATAGATAATCGATTGTCGGTTGGCTGTAACATGGTCCAGATTGATTTTTGTAGGAAATTAAGTTTTACTTTATTATCGTTGGGTTCGTCTTCCAATTCTGATCCTTGTCGAGGAACCCCGAGTAAGGACAGACTTTGCTGCACATACATTTTGCCGGTAAGATTTTGGTCTTTAGATGCTGCGTCACCTTTGAATAAACTGTCTTTAGAGAGTGAGTCGTCGGCGAATCTTACTCCATGACTCTTCGAGTTGTGTTGTAAGCCTCCTTCATCAGATGGATTGTGAACTTTAAAAGCAATGGCTGGATTATCTGACGCTTCATCGGGATTTAGTGTTAATCCCTTTTCATCATCCGTTGCCATCGCTGTTGGGGTAACTTTGTTAGTAATCATTACAGCGGCTAGATTTAGAATTGCTTACAAGAGCGCAACCCATCTTCTCAACCCATCAAAGATCCCTCTGCTGCAAAAGTCCATAAACAGCATGCACACGCAAAACCCAGAAAATGTTCACAGCCCGGTTCAAAGTAATAATAATAGAGCTGTTTTATGGCACTATGGTAACTACTTAAGTTCCATGTGCGTGCACATTATGCATAGTATTTTGTTTGTACGCGTCATTGCCAATGGATACAAGGCGCTTGCGTGACAACGTAATGACGTCAAGTTGTCGACTGCTGTAGCCGCTCAAACGAAACGAATGTCTCGTTTTTTGTGTCTATCTGGCAGTTAAAGATGGTGGAACGGGTAAATCTGGTGAAGTTGCATGATGGGTCATGTGTCATCTTAAGTACCTTATTACTGTAAAAAAAAAACGTCATAAAAATACAGTACAACACCGAACATTTCCTGATGTGGATCCCATGTGGATACTTTATTTAGTAAACATACAGTATTGCAGTAAAAGGCATAGACACATGCTCCCGCTGAGAGCCAATTTTTCTATCAGAGGTCAAATTAACGTTGTACCAGTAGTGGCGCCAGCGTCTGAAATCTGGGGTAGGGGTCAGGGTCCCCAACGAAAGCGGGTGTGGTCTGGTGTGGATTAAAATGCTTCGAAGGTGGTCCGGGGGGCAGAGCCTTCGAAAAACATGACAATTTAGGGGTTTTAGAGGCTTATTTAATCGATTTTATATATAGACCTACTAATATGTAGAAAATAGGCCTACATATAAATTTTTGTCGCCCCGACGAATTGTGGGTTTTTTTTTCTTGGATTGGGGGGGGGGGGGGTGTGAAGAAATAGAGTTATTTTTTGGGAAGCAAATCCCCCTTCCCCGTAGCATCGCCACTGCGTTGTACAGAGCACTCGTTACAGTTATGGGTCGTATTACTGGTCGTTCTTCGTGGGGGGACACAACAGACTCAGAATAGGTAAGTGAGTAGCACTTAACTTTGACTTGCATTTAAAATTTCAAAATTTAATCTCAAAACTTGATCCGCGGCCCCTGTAAGTATCATTTGTTTGCACAATCGAATGATCAATGGATCTATATAATTGAAACCTACAAACAGTGCAACCGCGCGCGCTCGATTCTAGAGGATATTATGTTGCAATAAATATATTCAATACACCTACACGGATCAAGAAGGGTGGAATGAAACAATGTAGATTGATGCACTGCCCATAAAAATAATCAAAGTGTGCAGCCGAACCAAAACCACAACACAACCATTGACCATTTCTTAAATCATTTGAATAGTAATAAGATTTACCACAACATTTATATATCCTTATACAGTATGAACTAAATACAAAGTATTCCGTATTTAGACATTAGATTTTCAGTATTTAGACATTAGATTTCTATTGTAAAAATAAAATTTAACAATATTAATTATGTGTATACAATGGTATCGAGCTGAAAGAACTTTTTAATAAAACATCATTAGATAATTACACTAATTAATCAATCACTCTAGCGTCGTCAAGCATAATTAAATATTATACAATCATATCAAAGTCAGCCACAAAATCCATCAAACTCCTCTGTCCAGGAAATTTGAATGAATGATAATTATTAAAATAGTATTTCGCTATAATCATAAGCTGGATATTAAAACGTCATTAAAATACGTGATAAAACCTTAAAAAACTAATTAAAAAACTGGAGAGAGCGGGATGAGCTGAGCCGCTGGGAACAGTGGTCCGTTGCATTATATTTCACTTTCTTAAGTAAAAATTGCATTATGATGTCATGGAAAAATCCCCATCTGAGGTTGCCAGGTTCAATTGTACAGAGGAGGTTTTCTTGACATTGTTATAAATTATATAATAAAAAACGTGTTTTTGAGACCCATGTAAAAATCAGGTATGTCAGTAATTATCGCATGATCAAGGATTTAGATTTATTTTGAAAAACTAACTAAAGAGCCCATACATGCCAACAGTTTTATAGTAAGGGGAAAATTTGGTCACGGGGTGGGGTCGGGTAGTGGTATTGTGGTCGCTGGGGGGGGGGTTAAACATTAAATGGGGTCCATTAGGTGTAACCCCTCTGGAGGCTTCAGCTATTTAATGTATTATAAGTGTAAATCTCATGATTCTTATGGTGTGTATTCCATTAATATAAGTAGGCCTATTGATTTTAACTTCTGTGTTTAATTGAATCACATTATTTGTCTTTTGTAGGCTACGTCTATATGGATCAATTTCTCATTTTCTGGTCCTTTCAATACAAGATTGATTTAAAATCTGGATTCAATATACATAAAATGCGTTTTCAATAATTACTGGGCCGGTATTTTAGAAACTGAATGTCCAATTATTCTGGTCTAGTTACGTCACTCTTTATACAAGAATTCTAGGCCTAGTCGTAATTATTAGTGATTTTCATTTAAAAACTATTTTAGACAGACCGTACCATCCCCTCACTGAGAGGCTCTGTCTTCTTGTCTTTCGCACCATTCACAGGGAGGCGATGTTGTTGCCAAGCAAGATATTGAAAAAGATAACTTAAATATTGAGGTTTAAAAAAAAAAACAATGTAATTAATGTATTAATATAATTTTTTTTTTGTAAACCAGAAAAGCTTAGCATTTAATTATCCCATTGTCAGACCATGTGGGTAGTGTCCATTTTGATATTTTCATTTTAGGTATGGAAGGGGCACAGTGGGCCACATAATGGTAGGGAAGAATACTGCCTTCCCATGGCAAAGGGAAGTATGGGACAAGAGCATAGTTTTGAGAAAACAAGCAAAACGTGTTTTTGCATCAGCCGTTCTAAACAGTGAAAAGTGTTTATATGGTTTTTTATGGTTTTTACAGATAATAGGATGACCATTCTAGGTATAATCATAAAAATTTAAAAAAAGCACTATTTTAACCTAAAATGTCCCATACTTCCTTCTGCTGTGGTATTGCATGCCCAGAATGCTAAAAAAGCCCATGTCAAAAGGAAGCAATTACGCAATCATAATAAATAAAATGCCTACATACGGAAATACATTTACAAATTAATGACAACCTCATTCACTACATAATATAGAACTCAAAATTGCAGGCCTAGTTGTACTGGATCTTGAGATTTACTTACAGTGTGGCTATTACACCACTGATTAAAATAATAGAAAACATTAAATCTATTTCAAGAGATTGGAACTGAAAATAGTAACGAAGTAGCTAGAAAGTGTACGCCTAAAGGGTGTGTGTAGGCTTAAACTTATTTTATTGTTTCTTTCTAATAAATAAATATATGGCTAGATTATAAATAAGTATAATAAACAACACATTAACACCAGAATAAAAATGATGTTATTTGCTTTCTTTAAGCATTTTGCGGCACTTTAGGCCAATAACTAAATTTATGCATTTTCTGGATATTTTGAATTTTTGAATAATACCAAATGGTATAATAATGATAAAGTCACAGCGTTACCTGGTAACAAATTTACAGATACATGGTGCAAAAACAATAGTAAATGGAAGGTTGTGTATTCCTTTTAGGAGAAGAATTGGAATAAATCGCAGATTATCAAAGAACACACTAGGCCTAAACTAGTTTCGAACGCGCTGCGCTCACCATAGCAACTTTCGAATAAGAATGTATGAGCGCTCAAAATATTTGCGATTTTTGTTCCATTTATTTAAAAAAAAATCTTATTCTGTGTTATTGTTAATCGCTGTCTAAATGTTTTAAACATAAGCCTATATATATATTTAATTAACGAATGTAGTTATCAATATACTGAAAACTTCAGCAACTTGAAGAGACATTCGAGTGTACCATCATTCGCCATCTTGTGATCATATACGTAAATTTTGTTTAAAAAGTTAAATTTATAATGAAATAAGGCTGAAAAACTTTTATTTGATTTATAATATGCTACTGCTTCCTTCTGCTGTAGTATATTTAATGAGAAAAAATGCTTCCCTTCAGAGCCATAATGCTGCATTCTGATTGGCTGGCCATTGACAATGACATAGCTTTTGTCCCATGCTTCCTTCTGCTGTGGATTTATTGTCTAAAAGTGGACATACTTCCTATTTATTATATTAATATCTCGCTTAATATAAGGTGTATGGACTAGATTTTAGTTTAAAATGTGCAGAATGATACCTGGAATCATGTATAACCAATAACTCATTTTTGAAAAATTTGTCCCATACTTCCCTTTGCCATGGGAGGGCAGTGTATGTACAAGGTATTCATTTCACATGAATAGAGTAATTTAAGCTGTTGGTTGTGGCTGCCCCACATTTGTTCAAGTTGTGTTATTTATATTATACATTTTTTGTATTTGTATTATTCATTCGTCATTTAACAATAAATGACAATTTCCATTCGAATTTGTGTGATCCTTTTATTTGTCTTGTCTGACCTCTTTGGCACAAAAGATATTATACCATCTGTAAAACTTAGCTTGGATATGTTTTCTTTCAGGCGGAGACGGCTTTCAAATCTATTTTTTACTTTTTTTTGTATTTACAGTACATTTCAACTTTTTTGAAATTTCCTTAATTTTAGTAATTAAGATTGAAGATTGATTTTAGTAAATAAAAACTATTTACAAAAATTATGTGGTTGAAGTCGCCATTTTGCCATCACCTCACAGTTGTATACGGGTCCAGAAGTCGGCCCTGATTAATTTCAATTAAAATTAAACTTTTTGTATTTGTTTTTTGGTTATATATTAGTTTAATATGTTTACTTTGATGTATCAAAGGATTTTTACCCAAATACTTCAGTTTTTGTTAAAAAATGTGATTATAAAAAAATCCCAAACCGGAAGTACTATTTTACAAACCGGAAGATTAAAAAATCATTTAAATCTACTCAAAACAATAAAAAATATCATCAAAAAAAGATTATTTCAAAGCTGCACTAAGGTTAATAGATACCCTATCAGAGAACTAGAATAACCCCTCTATAGTTCAAATGATGCTACTCA